GCATCGCATGGGTCTATTCGGCCACATGCGCATCCACGAGAGCGGAATTGACCACAATTCCGATACAGCCACGACAGCCAACATATCCACCATGCCCAGACGCATCCTCGCTCCACCGTCACACGCGCCGACCACCACCACCAACACCACCGCTTCCTCTACAGCCGGCACCGACACCGCTGACCTCTCATGCCCACATTGTCCACGCACCTTCACCTCACGCATCGGCCTGGTGGGTCACTTGCGAATCCATCGCACAGAGACTGGCGAACCAGTGCCTGGAGCACCAACCTACACCCACCGCACTCGCCTCCACTGCCCACACTGCCCTCGCACCTTCACGCATCGCATGGGTCTATTCGGCCACATGCGCATCCACGACGACCTGCGGTAGACAACCGCCGGTCACACCACACATTCCCTCACTCTCTACCCCCTAACACCATCACCCAATCAGACATCAACCCCCACTCACCTCATGCACTCAGCTGCCGCCTCCCACGCAAGTGGGAAGTGTGCATCTCGACCCGGTCCCCATGCGGCCTCGGCTGTACGGGTGACTTGTGTCCGAGACTATCCCGACACTTCAAGTGTCGTGGATAGGAAGGTTGCTGATTGAGGCCCGCTCTCGGTTCGCGCAGTTCCTCACGTTGTGTGTGTGTGTTGAGTGTAGTGGCGGACTGGTGGGCTGGGGATGGGCTGAAGCAGCACCTTCCACGGCTCTCTCACGCAAGTGAGAGACACGCCGTTCAACCCCCGTTGTGTGAAATCCTGGTGTTTGTGTGTATGGGGGGCCAGGTCGTGCTGTGGCGCGCGCAGGCATGGTCAGTCGACCATGTCAGCCACCGCGCCCATTCCCCACTCCAGTCTACTGACCGGCTCGGACAGTGGCTGGGCTGTGGGAATGGGAAGGGAGAGTGAGGTCGACGACTCAGCGCATTTTCCTCACTATAATCAATCTGACGCGCTTGAAGCTATCACGGTGCGCTAAAAGCCGTGGCTTGGAAGGTTGCCAACTGACGGGGCACCTTGGACCTCCTCCTTAACGGGAGGCGGTCTGAGAGTCAGGCTGCAATGGCTCCTTTTTAATGTGGCCTTTATGGCATTCCCACCACAGTGTGGGATCCGAGCCAGGCGTTGGCGGCACGCCTAGGTGCGGCTTCGGCCGTGCCAGCCTCCAAATCTCTGTTGTGTTGGTTGAAATCCTGGTTATTGTTGTGTGGACCAGGGGGTGTGGTGGAACGCCAAGGTGAGGATCCGTCCGAGCCATCCACCTGCGGCCTCCCTCGCCTCCGGTCTTCTTGACTCTGTCTTGACACCGGGCCCAGGCGGGGGAGGAGGAGAGAGTGTAGGTAGATGCAGCGCAAGTCTACTGGCACTATAAACCCCTGCGCAAGTCACCGTCCCTGCTCCCACCGCTGCAGCTGTGGGGCACACGGTGGACATCGTCGAAACCGACGGTCGAACTGTCATCTACCCTGCCAACGTTTCTATCTCGAGTAGAATAATTTTCCTATAAAGATCAGTGGACTAAAGTCATTTATCGCATTCTGTGCCTTAACTGCTCTCGCATACTCGCTGAGGGCACATTGGCCCCTTGACTCAATACCGATCCCATTCATCAGAGGGAATACACAGTGCATACACCATTCCTCTTCCAAAACGCTCCAGGACGATAAATCACTCCCTAGCCCGTTTCGTCCCATGACTGGGTGGGTGTCACGAATTTAACAAATTATATGGAAAACCTGATTTTCACGCGGGGCCATCTCCTCCTCCCATTCCGGCTTGTAGGCTGCCACGTACGGAAAGCTTTATGGTTTTGATCTTAGCTAAAAATTCAATCAACAGGGTTCAACTTGATTTGCAAACTGCGTACTATGTGTTCAAGTTTGCTTATTGAAATCAAACTGCGATCGTTAAATATCAGCATGGTTTTCCAACAAACCTAGTATACTTGTTATGATCAATGAAATTTTCATTTTTTCCGATTGCGCATTTTGAGAAAAAATGACAAGTTCTAGCGCATCGCTAAATCCCATATCGATTGTAGATTTACTCTGCTGAAAATTTCGTCTAGTTCGGGGTGTTGTGTCTCAAGTACATTGACACTACAGCGTCCATACAAAGATTGGTGTGAACGGTTGTCTACCTCTACATCTTAGTCTCTTTCTTCTTCTTTTCCTTTTTGGTAAAACAACTGAGCAACGCGAAATTAAATTGGCTCACCCATATTTTACTATCTGGTTGTCCGAGGGCATCAATCTAAAGAACGCTACCGACCTTGTCCTATTTTTGTATCTGCATGGAGATTGTAAATAAGACCGTTTTCCCTGCTTTATTTAAAAACATTCGCCGTTACTATCGAAAGCATTTAGCGTAGAACCACAACTGACATAGCAGAACTAAGATATCTCTTAAACCACCAACTTCGACCGTGGCTAACTTTGGCCGCGCTTGATTTATAATTTTGCTCAGGGTGTAATTTCATATGCCGGAATTCGATGACTTGCGGTTTGCACTTGTTATCTATGTTTGTTTATCTATAACTTCCTCGCTTTTGCTCAATTATCTTCTTATCATCTGAAAGAGAGGTGAAGCTATTCGTGCGTGACTTAGTTCATTGCTATCT